CACTCTCAAAAGCACAGTCCAGCTGCCGACTGGGTTCCCTCCTGTCTCAACATAAAAAGAAGCTGCTTTGAAGCCCAGGGTGGAGTGGAGCCGGCAGCTCAGTCTCTGTGTCATCACCCCCATCAGCTGGGTGTAGGCATAGCCCATGCAGAATTGTTCTCCTCAGGAGACCCCCCGAAATGAGAATTCCCTGACATGAATTCAGTTGCTGGTGCTTAGAGTGGGAAGCCCTGGGCCTTAGTGGACCCCGTGCCCCTCTCTCCTGTCTTCTGGAGCTTCCACATTTTCTTGGATTCCAAACAGCCATTCCACTTCTCCCAGAACTTCTCCTCAAACTTCCTGAGCCCTCATGGTGCTTAGAAAAATGAAGGCCCAATTTATTTTAGGGGTAGCAAAACCCACCTTTTGAGGCCTGTGGCAGACTTTCTCCCTCGTTTGTTCTGAAGATGCTTGAGACGAGCCATTGCAAGAGATTTCACTGAATGCCAGGGGTGAAAAAAGTAAACCAAGAAGATTCTAGATGCAGGAGACCAGGCCCACCTCTGACTGAGAGGTGCCATCCTGCCTCCCAGAAACAGGCTGGTTGGCCCCCTTGACCCTTGACCCTTGTTGGGTCAGGCTGCCCTCACCCAGGTGACTTGGTGGGACTGCCTTGATGGCATAAGTCACCTCACTGCTCAGGTCATTTCACTCCTTCACTCAGGGACGAGAACTCGAAAAAGGAAAAAGAGAAAGTGGGGTTGGCGAGGGCCATGAAAGAGACTGAGACAGACAGATGACAGATGATAGATGATAGATGATGATAGATAGATGATAGATGGATAGATGATAGATAGATGATAGATAGAAAATGATAGGTAATAGGTAATAGATGATGGATAGATAGATAGTAAATGAGAGGTAATAGGTAATAGATGGTAAATGATAGATAATAGGTAATGGATGATAGATGATGATAGATAGATAGATAGATAGATAGATAGATAGATAGATAGATAGATAGATAGATAGATGATAGATAATAGATGATGGATAGACAGACAGATAGATAATTGATAGATATTTCTTAACCCACAATTGCAGGGTCCCTAACGCAGGTGGGGGTCACAGACACAGAGACTGAGTGAGTCTTCCAGTCTCCTCTCCATCCAGCCGCCCCTGGGGACTGGGGGACATACTTGAGCGTTTTTGGCTGCCTGCCCCGCAGGAGCGCCCAGCATCAGCTCTGCCCTCTGCGCTGGGCTTCCTGGGAGGAAGATGTAGTTGGCTCATGGGCAGCCTGGCCCTCAGGTAGAAAGATCATGATGCTGAATCTTCTCCTAGCTCAGGCTCCCCAGGCCCCCAGTGAATTTGTTGAGGACCTGTCCCTGCCTCCCACCCGCTACCCCTCCTTCCTCATTCTCACAAACACCTGAGTGCCACCTCTGAGTCCAGCAGGCCTTGCTCCGGGCAGTGGGAACAGATGAATGAGTGACTGCTCACAGGATTTTGTGAATCCAGGGTGGAGCTGATTGACTGGTAGAAAGAGAGCAATGTTAAGAGAGCCGCAGACCTGGGTTCAGAGCCCAACCCCACCTCCCTGCTGAGCTCCCTGCACATTTCTGAAGCTTCCCCATTAGCAGAAGGAGACAGATGTTGCTGCTTGTCCCATGCCTGGAGGTGACAGGAGCTCATGGTGTAGCAGGTGTGATAGATAGCTGGCGTGTTGTGGGGCTCCACGCACTCCTTGCACATCCCTGTGGGGCAGGGTTCCCAGATGACACAGGATGCCCAGTTCTGTTTGCGTTTCAGATAAACAATGAATAATTTTTTAGTACAAGTATGTTCCAAATATTGGGAATGGGGAGGGTGGATGTCATATTTATTTGCTAAATATGGCAGCCCTGCCACGCAGTTGTGGCCCCCAAGTAGAACTGCCGTCTGGAGCTTGGGCCCCTCCCACCAGGCTCTGTAACCCCGTGTCTCACAGGTGATCCTGAACTCCTTAGTCAACACTATACATTTCTAATCAGCTTGAACTGAAGCACAGCCACATCCCCCCACCCCAAAATTGTAGGTGGGAGTGAGCATAACATGAGCAATCACCAAAGTGATTCGGTCACTCATCTTGTCCCTAGTGAGACAGCCCTGAACAATGACCTGCCTTTGTGGGGCTTACACTCTGGGAAAGGGAAGAAACTAGAAATTGCATGTCAGGGTAAGTGCTCTGTGAGAGGTGGAGAGTAGCAGGGTGAGTTTTATTGGTGCAGAGTCATGGCCCCGTCAAACCGCACATTTGTCCCCAACAGCTGCTGTCAGTATGTCAGTAGTAGGTCTATCTCTATTTTCTCCTACTGTGGCCTTGGGCTCTCCCATCCCCAGCCTCACTCCACCTCCCCCACCCAGGCCCTTCGGACGCCTCTTTGGTCTTGGTCTCAGGAAAGCTGCAGCAGCTTCTCAGACCTTTTCCCTTTGACTCTGTGGGACACCTGGTTTCTTCTGGGGCGGCAAGTCCAAGTCTAGCATAGAATTAACGTTGACGTATGTGGCTGCCTTGTGTACACGTGCAGATTTATTTATGAGTACATTTGCAAAGATGGACGGATGTGTGGAACTCTTTCTCGTAGAAAGTCGCAGGACCCCCTTTTCCTGCCTATCGTGTCCATTCCGTGCTGGCATTTGAACTTTTTCTGTCGAGCGAGTTCACTCTTGACAGCGAGCGAACAGAGGTGTGATGTCATTGGGGCAAAATGCTCTGGTGCTCACAGAAAGGCCCCCTGAACTTGTCCACATGCAGATGCAGGTGTGGGGTTCGGAGGAACGAGGTCCCAGCCAGGAAGGGTCCCAGGAGGGGACAGCGCACACACAGACAGGCCTCTGTGGGGAGGGTGGGGCTGGGGGTCGGGAAGGGGGCTGGGGATGCCCACGCCTTTAAGTCCCTGTAAACCCTGTGCTTTTCTCCCTTCCTGTCCCCTCTGCCTGCCCCTCCTCTAAATTGGAGTTATCTTAGTGTTTCCGCTGCCCTAGGGGCCTGTTGCTCAGGAGGCTGCAGTGGGCCTGTTCCACCTCCTGCTCCCTCTGTCACTCCCCACCTGGTGGGCCAGGGGACCTGTTCCACCTCCTGCTCCCTCTGTCACTCCCCACCGGGTGGGCCAGGGGACCTATTCCACCTCCTGCTCCCTCTGTCACTCCCCACCGGGTGGGCCTGGGGAGGGTGTCCAGAGGGGCTGCCCGAGTACAGTCTGTGGGTCCTGAGGCTCACTCCTCCTGCCCCTTTGGAAACAGGACCACAGCAGGTCTCTCACTGGAGACGACAGAGGGTAGAAAACAGATAAGACAGCTGCTTGGGGAGTAGGGGAGCTAGGGCGTAGACTCCTCACCCCTAGCCTGGGGAAGGGGGAGGGATGTGGGGGGAGGGGGGAGAGAAAGGCCTGAATGACCACTAAAGGCTGAGCTAAAAGCCTGGGAGACCTCTGGGAGACGGAGGAAAGGCAAAGCCAGTTCCAATCAGTTTAATTCAGAGCAACGAATACACGATTGAGAATGAGAAATGGAGGTCACGGCTTGTTATGGTGACTGAGAACCCAGCAATAAGTGGGCCCTGAAGCCTGGATGGGGGCCTTTCTTGGGGCTAAAGCATCAGAATCCTGAGGCCACTATCCTGCAATTGCATATTCCTGCTGAAAGTGAGGAGTGTGGGGATGGGACAGAGGGAGAGCTGAGAACCCAGAAAGGAAGTCTGTTTGTGAGGGTGGGTGGCTTTTGAGAGAAAATGGTCTTAAGAGGAACAAGAAACTGAAATCTGTGGTGGTCCTGTCTCATCTCCCTCAGGCATCCTCCTGAAAGAGGCACGGCCCAGCTGCGCTTTCTCGGGGTCCCTAAACAGCAGGGTCCATCTGACCCTGGTTTTCCAGCTCTGGGGTGTGTAAGGTGGGCCACGGTTGCAGGTTGTGAGCGTGTGTGTGTGTGTGTGTGTGTGTGTGTGTGTATTTATACATTTGTTCCACCCAATAGTTCAATACAGATTCCAGGCACACACAGCCTTCAAGGCAGAAATATGACTGAGGGGTCTGAGGCAGAGGAAAGTAAGAGAAGATGCTATGAGGCCAGGGGTGCTTTTCATACGGGAACTGAGTGTCCTGAGGTCATGTGTGCTTAACCTTGCACTTCCTGAGAGCCAGTGCAAGGCAGAGACACCCCAGTTGAGTTTCACAGTGGCCAGGGGATAAAAGCAAGCCAGTTCTGAAGAAGCGTCCCCTCCCCTCTCTGTCCTGCCAGACAGGCTGCAACTTTTGAGGCCCTACCCTGAGCTAGCGCTGGCGTGGCTGGTGTGCCGATGCACAGGACAGCTCTGAGTAGGTGCGGTGCACCACAAGGCAGCCAGGGCCACGGCCACTTGTCCCTGGCCTCCCCTTCCTCTGCAGGCAGCCTGATCTGCCCAGTGGGCGAAGCATCCGCTCTCCAGGAGCCCAGGCCCAGCTTAGAGCTTAGTGGGCTCCTGGACCTGCTTCCACCTGGCCAAGCTGCACAGCTATAAACAGGACCAGCGACCAGTCTCGCAAAGGACAAGGCCCCAAAGACAGGAGCCTCGGGGTGTGGACATAAGGCAGGCTGTGGCCTTCTTTCCTAGGTGCCCGCTTTTCCTGTGAGAGATTGTCCCATTTTCCTCCACTCTAGCCTGTGTCTCTTTGGCTGCCACCTGCTTTGGCTTACGTTTTGTTTTCGGCTTGCCACTGATTTCATGCTGTTCTGAGGCATTTCCATCTGCTGCTGCCAACTGCCTCGCCATTTTCCAGTCTAGATCCCTGATTCGGCCACCCATCTTTTTCAGCTAAGCCACTCAGGCCACCTTCAACCCACAGATGGGTGTCTTTGAAGCAGGTTGTTGAGATGGTAGGGTCAGGGCTGTGGAGGGCTGTGGAGGGCTGTGGAGGGCAGTGTACCCCAGCCGGGGCCATGGACATGAGCTGGAAGCCTTCACTGACCTGCATTTGCTTTGGGCACTTCTAGGGCAGAGTGGATTCCCGTTGCCCCCCTGGCCAGCACTCCCCCTAACCCACACAATGGGATTGTGAAGGTGGACATTGCTGGGGACTCCTGAACACTTGCACTCTGTGGATGATGGGTGACGACAGACTCTCTGAACACCCTGAACCCATGGAATTTCTCAACATCTATTTGGGAGACAACCTGCAGCCCCACCCAGGAGTGCAGCCCATGGATACATACAGCCATCTGGACCCACCTGAACCTTTCCGGGAACAGACCTGGGCGCCTGACTCTTCTGATTCCACACAGAGGCGAGATGCTTCTCCCAGGGGCTCCAGCACAGAGCCTGAGGGCCTGGGGAGTGGGTCTTCCCAGGGAGACCCAAGGCACAGCCACAGCTCCTCGACCCAGGTGATGTTCTGGGCCGGTATCCTGCAGGCCCAGATGTGCGTCCTGGACCTGGAGGAGGAGCTGGAGAAGACCGAGGGGCTCAGGGCTGAGCTGAGGTCGTGCATCCCCAAGGCCCCTGCGGACCTACCCCCTTTTTCCTCCAGCCTGGCAAGCCCCCTGGACTCGGGCCTTCACCCCGGGCCACCAGTGGAGGAAGCCTTGGGGGAAGACAGCAACAGACCTGAGGAAGAGAACCAGGCCCGGGTGTCAACAAGGGAGGGGACACCAAGCTCCTCCCCAGAGTGGGGTGCTGAGGAGGAGAGCGTGTTCTTTGACAACCCCCTCTTCCTGGAGAGCCCTTGCTCGGATACCAGTGCTCCCCAAGCACGCTTCTCCTGGGGATACCCGGATTCCTGTGCTGACATGAGGCCTGAGAGCCCGCAGATCCTGGAGCCTCCCTTCCCAACAGGCAGGGTGCCATGGGGGCTGGGAGATGAGCCAGACTCAGGGGAGAGCATGGCTGATTCCAGTGGGCACACCACTCCTCCGTTCCCTGTGCCCACCTACAAATCACACTCCTCCTCCTGGGCTGCACCAGACACCACCCAGCAGGCTTCCACAGCACCTCCCAGCTGGGGGGAGAGTGAGGTAAGCTGGGCCCTGGGGACTGACCCAGAGGTTGTGCATGGGGACACAGAAGGACAGGCCTTGCTCTGTGGTCAGTGGGCCCAGAACACTCTTCAGATGCCAGGGCCTTTGGGGACCCTGGAGTAATATAACAGGAAGGCGGGACCAGTGTGGCCTTTAGAATCACGGGAAATTTTATAGATGCCACTGTGATCGCCATTACATCCACCGCATCTCCATCTCGCCAGCTCAGGGTGGTGTCTGGACACACTGGGGGGCCAGCGGCTCCTCCAGTTGCCGTCTGTTCCTAGTCGTCCCCAGACTCTACCCCTCCCACCTCCATCACATTCCCAATTGTAGCTGCAAAGGTCAGCTGCTGAGGGTGACCTCTGCCCCGACGGAAGATTTCTTAAAGTCCTGTCCTCTCTTTTCTTAGAGATTTCAGCATTTTGTTACTTTTAGCTCACCATCTCTCGTTCCTCCTCCCCACCCAGTGTCAGTAGGTCAGGCCCAAATGACAGTGGCGGAGGTCTTTGATATCAACTAGGGCAGTTATGGGGACAAGTAATTGAGACAATAGGGAGCACAGTTTTCCCAGGGAAGCCTCTGCTGAAGAGATAATGAAGCTTCAGATGGCAGAGCAGGGCTGGGACTCGATAATCTCGGGCCCCAGGAAGCAGTGGAGACCTGTTACCCCAAGAGCAGAGGGGCTGCTGCTGGGTGCTGCCTGAGCCCGCCACCCACAGGCTGGGGTCCGGTTTAGGCGGGCCTTCTGTCTCTAGGGCCTTTGGGGTCATCCAAAGGAAGCCCAGGAACCCTGTCCTGGTCCTGGTAGCTTGCTGTGTGCTCCCACTTGGGATGGCAGACCCCACCCAGTGCCTGGTGGCTGTCACCCTCCCCATAACACGGCCCCACCTTGGGCTCGTATTGCAGGAGGCTGGGCCACCTGGGGAACCATGGAAGGAGGAGGACAGGCCGAGAAGACTACAAGTCAATGGACATGGACCTGGGGCCCGGGAGGCTTCCTGGGGTGTGGAAAGGCCCTGGGGACAGTTTCCCCAGGTCAAACCGCTCTCCCCTCCTTTTCTTCTCCAAGATTTCTCTGGCAGACTGTCTTGATCCTGCAGCATCTTGTGTGGACAAAGCATCGGCCTGGGAAACAGGACAAATCAGATCTGACCCCAGCCCTGCCACTTATCCTGTGCATCCTTTGGCAAGTAACTTACCCTCTCTGTGCCTTACCTCCTCCATCTGTAAAGGAGGAATGTGAGCCCAGTGGTTTCCAGGGCCCAGAACCAGCACTCCTAGCACGTGGGTCTTCTCCTATCCAGGGTTCCCCCTCTGAATGAAGCAGAGCCCAGGGCTGGGGGAAAGGACAGCAGGGAGGGAGGGGCTCTGTAACCCAGTCATTCTCCCCTCCCTCTCCCTCCCCCTCTCCTTGCCTAGACTGCCATTCACCTTTCAGGGCCTCCTGGGCTCATGAATACCCTGTGCCTCTCAACAGGCCCTGCCCAGTGCTGAAGGCTGGCAAACAGAACAGGGTCCTTCCTGGCCCCAGGTGCCTCTTATCTCCCAGGACAGAGGTGAGACCCAGTGTGGGGCCTGGGACATTGGGTGGTGGGAGGCTTTGGCATCTGGAGTGGGAGGGCCCCACTGTACTGTGTTGGAGCCAGACAGACTTGGGGTTATATCCTGTGTCTGCCTCTGTGACATCATCAGGACTATGGGTTTACTCATCTCACAGAGTAAATGAAGAAATGTACTGGAGACCCAGCATTTTTGATGCCTGGATCTTAGTGGTTTACCAGTCCTGAGCCCTGGTTGCCTTGGGGCTGAAGTCCTGAGAGCCTTGTGCTTCTGCATGTGGGAGGTCACTGCCTGAAGGAGGGACAGGACGTGCTGCCCAGCCGCAGGGAGGAGCCCCAGGGAGGGAGCCCCAGGGAGGGAGCCTGGGGAGGAGGCCGAGGGCCGTCCTGGCTCTGCCAGGCCCCTTGGCCCTCGGCCTGCTGCTCGCCCCCTGCCAGCTCACTCTGCTCTTCCTTAGGTGATAGAGATGCTGAGAGTCCCCAGGAGTCTGCTCCCTGCACCCCAGCCCCTGGCCCCTGGTGGGGCCCAGCCTCTTCGCCGGAGTCCAGCAGCCCGGAGCCTGAGAGCAGAAGCCTCGGCCCCAAACCCAGCCCAGTGTCCTCCTGGGAAGGCAGCCCGCAGCCCCAGAGCTGCCACACCAGCAGTGTTTTCCCCACGTGGACAATAGATGCTTCCCACCCGTCACTCCTGGAGACAGATGGGGCACAGTTACATTCCCTAGAGAGAGAGGAGGCCCGAGAAGCCCCAGACCCAGGGGAGGAAGTGAAGATCGAGGGCCCTGCTGGCACTGCAGACGCCGGAGCTGTCCCATCTGATGCTCACCTGACTTCCACGGAAGGGTAAGTGCGGGACTGACGGCTCTGGCTCCTCCTCACGGCGTGACTAGGAGTACCCTGGTCTGGGAGCAGGAGCAGTGCACAGGGATTTAACACACTGATGCCAGTTAAGCCAGGATTATAGGCCCTGGCACCAGCAGGGTTTTAAGGAATGAGAGGTTTGAAAGCACCGGAAACCAAAGAGCAGACAGTCATACACGTGGGGTGGGACTTGAGTGTGTGTGTCAAGGGCCGTCCAAGGCTGGACAGCAGAGAGGCGGGGCAGTGTCCAGGGAACCTGACCAGAGCCATGTGCCCAAAGAGATGGGAGTTGTGCTACGTAGGTGTGGGGCATGGGAGGTCAGAGCATGTGGTGTGAGATTACACATGCTTTGACTTTGAGAGCCCAGGCCCAGGGAGCTGGCTCAGATCTCAGGGGAAGCTGGAGCACCAAGGCGGGGTTTGGCTGGGACCAAGGGAATGAATGGGTCTGGGGCCCGGAGCAGGATCGAGTAACCCCAGAACTGTGGCCAGAGGCGGCAGCAGGCCAAGTGGGAAACCAGCCTAGTTCCACCCCTCTGGATGCTGCAGGAAGACATCGGTCCCTGGCGTCTCCACTCGGGAAAGGGCTTTATTCTCTGGTTAGCTAACGAGGGTTCATGATGGAGAGACCAGGAGGAGGCAGCAACGGCTCAGGTCATGGACCTGACGTTGCACGGATGGCAGGGTCAATCCCTCTCCCATCTCAGCGTCCCTGAGTGGTGGCTACAGAGCCCATCAGTCAGGATCAAAGAGCCATTCTCCTCATGCACCTGGGACTCTCTGCTGTCCCTGGAGATGTTCAGAGGCTGGGCCATCAGAGGGTCTCTCAGAATCTAGACAGAGAGGGATCACTTTACCAAAATTACAGTTCCTTCAGCCCCAAATAAAAGAAGGAAATCCATCTAAAATGAGAACCATACTTCTGTGGTAAATAATGAAAGGCTTAATTGGGACTTTTCTTGATAAGTGATACTAAAGATTCCATAAATAAGTTTATGTCATCTTATATTTAACACAATATAAGAGATTTGATTTGGCACAAGCTTGCTGGCCCAATAGCTACCTTTCATTCATACTTGACTTCACAGTGAGATCATAGAGGTTTATTTTAGTTTATTAACAGCTCTGGTAATATGTAGCCCTAGCCTGTTTGGCTCAGTGGGTAGAGCATCGGCCCGTGAACTGAAGGGTCCCAGGTTGGATTCCTGCCAAGGGCACGTAGCTTGGCTTCAGGTTTGATTCCTGACCCGGGTCGGGGCACGTGCAGGGGAGGCAACCGATGGATGTGTCTCTCTCACACCGATGTTTCTTTATCTCTCACTCTCTCTCTCCCACTCTCTGAAAAGCAATGGAAAAAATACCCTTCGATGAGAATAAAAAAAAAAGTACAATAAAATAAAATAAGGATATAATACATGCATGTAAAGTATACAATCCCATTACAATTTATAATTGCATAATGGGGTTTTTTCCCCCCAAAGTGTCTCTCCGTCTAGATATCGTTTTAGGAATGACACTAATTGACGAGGTCATTTTGGTAAAAGTGTTTTAGGGTTTTGTCAGCTGATTATTCAGATAGTTCTCTTTAGATGGGACACGTGTGCCAGTTTTATTTCCTGCTCTTCACTTGTTCACTGGACTGACTCCCGGACCCTCTCTGTCACTGGCTTTCTGTTTGATTCCTGGCTTCTAGCCGCTTCACTTTCCCCAGCTTCATGAAATCCTAGGGGCTTTTGCAAGATTTGTAATTTTACTTTTCGGTTGGTTTCCAGTATGATTGCCCTGTCCTGTTGGGTGTGGTGTGTCTGAGCCCCAGGATGCTGTGAGAAGTTACCAGCAGAGACACTGAGCCAGTCGGGCCAGAGATGGGCCTGTGGCAGGGATGGAGGGTTGTTTCTCAGGGAAATTCTCATGTTATGATGAGTTCTGCTTCCCTGCACAATCCCTGACTATGGCAGCTTGGATGGGGAGCGTTCAGATAATGAGGATACCTGTACCCGGTTGTGATGTTGCCCAGGAAACAGAAATGGCAGGTGGAGGTGGGACTTGGTGAGGTCTGAGGTTAGGGGTGTCAGACTCTGAGTCAGTAGGGGGGTTGCCTGCCTGCACTCACTCATGACAGGCCACCATCCCATCTCCCACGGCAAGGCCTTTCTTTACCACAGCACGAGGGAGACACAAACCCCTGGACTCCCCAGCCTTCTCCAATCCCAAAGGCAGTCTAGCTTCCTGTTCTTGCCTCATCCCAGCACCTTTCTCGGTTCCAGGTCCAGCACTGGACGCCGGAGTTGGAGCTGGAGGGTGGGGTGAGGGCAGGCATTCTGAGGGGCCCCTCCACGACTTGACCCAGAACCCATCTGTGTCCCTCCACGTGAGAGTCTGAGGACACTGATGGACTTTTCCAGGCCTCCTGAGAGCCCCACGCCCCAAGCGAAGTCCCCAGAGGAGGGCCAGAGGCCGCAGGCTGCGGACAAGTTGGCTAACGGCGTCAGGACCGACAAGCTGGCCTGGGACCTGGCCTCCCGCCTCTATCGCCTGGAGGGTTTCCGAAAATCCGAGGTGGCTGCGCACCTTCGGAAGAAGTAAGGGCTCTGGGCCTGAGCGCCGAGGCTCTGGGGTGAGGCAGGGCGCCCCACCCATCCCTTTGTCCCTCCAGCCCACTGCCCACCTCTCACTCCATCTTTCTTGTCCTGGCTGCAGCCCCTCCCCTGTAACCTCTCCATGACTTCTTCTTCCTCTCTGTCACACTGGTGTCACCCCTTTTTCACATCCTTGGCCCAGCTAAGAGCCACTGGACTGGCCACTTTGCCTCCCTGCCCTGGCTACATGTGTCCCACCCAGCATGAGGTGGGGGCACCGATTCAGGCCAGAGACCCTGGCTACCCGCCCTTTACCCTCTTTAGACCCAGGGTCCAGCTGGCTGGGCTTTTGTCTTGCTCGGGGCCCCCAACCCTTCTCAGGCCCTGGGATGCAGGCCTTGGGTTCCCTCTGAGCCTGTGGCCCCCTCGCCCAGCCCCTCAGCCCAGGCCTGACCCCACTTCCCTCCACAGCAATGACTTCAGCAAGGCTGTGGCTCAGGAGTACCTGTCCTTCTTCCAGTTTGGCGGCCAGAGCCTGGACCGTGCCCTCCGGTAATGTCTTGGGCCCTCTGGGTAGGAGGGGTGGCCGGGGCTAGAACCTGGCCCGAGCTCTGGGGCCTGTCGGCCCTCCAGCCTGGGTGCTGTGCTGATTCTGGCCTCCTCCCAGGGGCTTCCTCCAGGCCCTGGTGCTCAGCGGGGAGACCCAGGAGCGGGAGCGCGTCCTGTACCAGTTCTCCAGGCGCTTCCATCACTGCAACCCTGGGCTCTTCCCCTCAGTAGGTAGGAGGGCAGGGGACTCTGGGGTGCCAGGGAGGGTGGCCTGCTCTGGAGTTCCTTGAGCGGCAGCTGGTGGGAATGTGTTTGGGTGGCTGTGGAGCATTTTGGGGTCACCTGCCACCTGCCGTGTGGGCAGAGGAAAAGCGGATCCCAGTTCCAGTGCTTTCTCTCCACACTTCTCTCTGGGCAGATTCTGTGCACACCCTGACCTGCGCCACCATGCTTCTTAACACGGACCTGCATGGGCAGGTGAGCGAGGGGGGAGAACACCCGTGGGGCCTGAGGGACGGGCCAGGGCTGGGCTGGAACAGGGGAGCTGAGACCAGAGGCTTAGAATGGGGCCAGGGGGGCTGTGGGGAACTGGAGAAGGTTCCAGAGTGCTGGCGGGGTGTTATCCTATTGGGTGGGGATGCCAGTTGCTCCACTTCTCACTTCTCCCCATGGCCACAGAACATTGGAAAGAGCATGAGCTGCCAGGAATTCATCAGCAACCTGAATGGCCTGCAGGATGGAGGGAACTTCCCCAAGGAGCTGCTGAAGGTACGGTATTGGGGCTACTCACGGGAAGGCTCCCTGCTCAGGGCCTGGACCCTGGCTTCTCGTCCCAAGGGGACGCTGAGCTCAGGCCTGGCTCTGCCCAGATATCCTCCAGAGGACAGGGCCCCTTTACTGACTGCAGTGTCACTGTGGGATTGGTTAGCTTGTGCAAATTCCAAGCCCCTGCCTTGGACCTACTGAACCAGGCTTCTGGGGCTGGGGCCCCCAATACGGTCACTAAACTTGATTCCGAGGCCTGTGAAATCTGAGAAGCACTGGTTTTTGGTTTTCCGAGTGAGCAAAGGCAAAAGTTCAAGAAGAGAAAGTCTAGAGTCAGGAGCCAGGTGGTTTGAATTCTTACCTTGGACAACTTAACCCGTATCCGACTCAGGTTCCTTCTGGGCTCGATCCACTTACAGTGATGTCATCACGGTGACATCGAGTTTGTCAGGTGCTCAGCACAGTGCCTGGCACACAGAGTGCTCTTTGTTAGCAATCTCAGCATTTGTTCCTTTGCCTAGTCAGTGAACATTTATTGAACACTTACTATGTGCCAGGCACCTCTAGGTGTGCCCAGGGCTACACAAAGCTGGCAGGATGCATCTACATGAATACTCTTTGTTACATCATTTGAAAGCTTGGCACCACAGTTACTCATTCATTCATTCATTCATTCATTCATCCATTCATTCATTCACTGTACAGTTATTGGCCTTATCAGTCAGCCGGTCCTGCCCTGTCAGTTCCCTCCGGGCAGGATGGTACGTGGATGGTTCATTTCCCTTGGAGAGCAAGTTCAGGCCTCATGAGCTCAGGCAGGGACTAGGACAGCTGTGATCACCTTGTCTCCAGTTTCTAGCACAATGTCTGGCACATAGCAAACGCCCCATAAATGGTTGCGTGTGTGTGTGTGTGTGTGCATGGGTGCGTGGATGAGCTCCTTCCCGTTCACGGGACGAGGGCGGCTGTGTTGGGGGTGGAAGAGGTGGCTGCACTGGCCCCACCCTGCTTCTGCCAGATGGAGTTTGGGCCTCGCAGCCCGAGGCTCCCTGACCACCTGTGTGCCTCTGTTCCAGGCCCTGTACTGGTCTATCCGAAGTGAGAAGCTTGAATGGGCCGTGTAAGTGAAAGCACCTTCCCCTCCCCAAACCCGTCCCTTACCTCTAGACCTGTCCTTCCTCTACCCCCCACCCCACCTGAGAGAGGGACAAGTTCAGGCCCTGAGCCAGTGAGAGGGTGGATGGGCCCAGGTAACACCTGGAAGAGCGAGAGCCAGGGGACTTGGGGAAGACAGGAACTGATGGGTTGGCTTTGAAGGATTTCTTTTGGGGTCTCCTGCGGTGTGGCTCCCTAGTGGAAGAGAAAGGGTGGGGGTACTGAGGCAGTGGGTGCCTCCTGGTGGCCTCTGCCCAGTCAGCACCTCAGCCTGACTGATTCTCTCTGTTCAGGGACGAAGAAGACATAGCCAGACCTGAGAAGGGTCGGCCGTCACCCCTACCTGGCAAGATGAACAACCCCTTCCTCCAGCTGGCCCAGGACCCCACAGTGCCCACCTACAAGCAGGGCATCCTGGCTCGGAAGATGCACCATGACGTGGACGGCAAGAAGAGTGGGTGTCTGCTGCCTTGTGGGGGCTCTGTCTGTGTGGGGGGTGCGGAGTGGCTCTGCTCAGGGACACGCGCTGATGTGTGCAAGGTTGACAGGCAGCCCACGTAACTGCCTCGACCTTGACTGTGTGCCGGGTGCTGTGTAAGGCACCCACCAGACCCAAGAGGGACCTAATGTTCCTGCCCCAGAGCCCCTGTGCTGAGGCAGAAATCAGACAAGCACCGCAGTGTCTGCATGAGTCGGGAGGGCTAGATCAAGTATGGGGTGTGGACAGGGCAAGGTTTGGGGTTTTGTTTGTGGGGTGGGAGGTGGGAGACAGGAGGGTTAAGGCTCCTGGGAAGTGATATCTGAGCTGAACCTTGGAAGGTCTGGGTATTGGAAGTTGAGCAGAGGGTGTCCTTCACAGAGAAAGAGCAGACAGAGCTTGTTCCAAATATGAGGTGTATGAAAATGAATGCTGGGAGATATATTTGGGGCAAAATTGCCTGGTTCTGCATTTGGGCCTCACTTGCTGATGGCTGGAGCTTCAGAGCAGGGCCACTACCTGACCAGAGAGAGCAAGGATGCCAGATTGGATGGGGACCAGCCAGGGAACTAGCATTCCACATGCCCTGCGCAAGGCCGGGAGACCACAGGGGAGCAGGCCTTCTCCTGCTCAAGGCCTCGAGCCCCGTGCCTCTCGGGAAAGGTTCATAAAGTCAAGGCCATCTTGCAGGGACCAGAAGGATGTCTGAGCTGGGGCTGTGCTTGTGGGTGGGTGTGTCTAGAGAGGGGGTGATCCATCTGAATGTTAAGTTTGTTGTTTGTCAATAGTTCTAATCTATTTTGGTTTCCACTCTTGACTACCTGTGCATGAGACATGACATGCTTGTTTGTGACTGTGTGTGTTTCGTGTGTCTGTATGCTTCTGTGTGTTTGTGCACCTGGGGGCTGTGGGAGGTGGGGGAGACCGGAGCTGGTGTGAGGGGTGAGGAGAGGGGGTCTGGGTGGGTCTGAGTGTGTCTGGGTGGGGTGCTTCCACTCACCTGTGTGTCCTGCTCCTGGAGCAGCGCCATGGGGCAAGCGTGGCTGGAAGATGTTCCACACTTTGCTTCGAGGGATGGTCCTGTACTTCCTGAAGGTAGGAAGGGTGTCCACGCCCTGATGGGCAAGGTGGGAAACAGGGAAAGACCCAGAATGGTTGGGATGGTGGGCAACCCATGAAAACCTCTTTTCTGAGCCGCTGTGCCCTGTGGCAGGGAGAGGACCACGGCCCTGAGGGAGAGAGTTTGGTGGGGCAGATGGTGGACGAACCTGTGGGGGTGCACCACTCGCTGGCCACGCCAGCCACCCATTACACCAAGAAGCCACACGTCTTCCAGCTGCGGACTGCCGACTGGCGCCTCTACCTCTTCCAGGCACCGTGAGTCTGGGGTGGAAGACAAGCAGAAGGGCCCCGCTTCCTGTTCCCTGAGCCCTGCTCACCTCTGGTGGCTGCTGGTCCTGCCCTGATGGGAGCTGCCAGCAAACCATAGATGCCCAGCTGGCAGGGGCCTAGGGCTGCAAGCTGAAGCAGGGGCCTCCTGCCTCCCTGCCCTACCCGTGGCCCCCGTTGCCAGCGTGCGGCTCTTCCCTGTCAGTCCAGATCAGCCTCCCAGTTCTGAACTAAGGATTGCAGGAAGTCACTAACATGATTTTTCTTTTTTCGCATTTGATATAAAACCTGTTGCCTTCCCGGATTTTCCTCTTGAAAATGAGAAAACCCACCAGCAGAGGTCAACCATCCTGCTGGCTTCTGGCTTCTTGAGGCCCGAGATGCTGCACTGCTAGGAGAGCACAGGAGCTGGGGGGCGGGGATAGGCGAGGGACCCGCTCTGTGGCCCTGGGGACCCACGGCCTCTCTGCCCTCAGCACCGCCAAGGAGATGAGCTCCTGGATCGCGCGCATCAACCTGGCCGCCGCCACGCACTCAGCGCCGCCCTTCCCCGCAGCGGTGGGCTCGCAGCGCAGATTCGTGCGGCCCATCCTGCCCG